AACACAGTATGAGGATGTTTGAGAATAGGATATTGAAAACAATATTTTTACCTGGTAGGAAGTAAGAAAAGTGGTGAGAATACATAAAGTGGAGCTTTGCAATTTGTTCTATTCACCAGATATTGTAAGGCCCTTACAGTAAGGGTAAATAAATCAAAGCAGATAAGATGGCTGGCAAATGTTGCATGAATGGGTGAGGTCATAATTCACAAAAAAAAATCATAAACGTTTTGAGTCCTGCTGAGAATTGTTTCTGTAGCTTGGAAAATAAGTATGACAGAATAATATGTAAAGCCCAAAACTGTTTTGGCGAGGAGATTATAGGAACAAACGTCACAATCCCAAAAAATGTACTCTGTTCAAGACCCCATGAGAATTGCTTGTGTAATTTGGAAACTAAACACAAAAAAGTCGCCAAGACCAAAATTGTTTTCTTTGCCGATGATACTGAAAGTACAAAGGTCACAAACCTGATAAACTATCCTGTGTTCAAGTCCTGCAATGAATGATTTTTGTACCTCGGAAACTAAGAATGCTAGAAGAATAGCACAAAGATCACAATTGTTTACTTCAGAAAGGAGACTGCAGAAACAATGGCCACAAACCCGAAAAACTGTCGTAGGTTCTTGATTCGGTGAGAATAATTTATGTGGCTCTGAAATTAAGCACGATAGAAGAATGAAGCCAGAACCAAAAGTGGGAAATTTCAGGTTCCCAAGGAAGATCACTGTCTTCTGGGATGTTGCGCCGTGTAGTCTAGTAGAAGTTTACCACCATTAGTACTCTGATTATGGAGACATCAAGCACATATGTAACGTCTATGAACGTCTACCAGACCACACGACAGAAGACAATTATCTTCAAGACCAAAATTGTTTGCTTCGCCAAGGAGATAACCGGAATAAAGGCCACATCACCGAAAAAACTGTACTGGGTTCCGCCAATATAATAGCATCTCAAATACCAAAACTGTTCTCTTCGGGGAGGAAATTTCTCCCCAGAATTATGTAATGAGACAAGACTTTAGCTTAAACATTTAAGGACGAGCCATAATTTTAAGAGGATGTGCAAAAGGAGAACCTGTATGTATTCCTAGGATAATACTAATTTCGTCCACTTACCCGTTTGAGTTAAAACATTTACATTTTCCAACTACATTTCCCTATGACGAAGTTAAAGTTCAGTCTTTATAGGAAGTTGGTATTGATTTAAGAAGTGTTTCTTTCATGTACGCCTTCTTCGAGAGCTTGTTCTGTAAAATGTTTACATACACAACTGACGCCCACAGGCAAAACAACAAAGAAGTACTGTATTGAATTTTGATCACAGAAACGTAAAATATGGCTCTCCCTAGAAGACCTGGAAACGATGTTGCACTGTAACTTCCTGCATTCTCAAAAACACTTAATGTTAGCATTTTCTTATGTTAAGCCAAGATCATTACATGAATAAAAAATAAATTATTATTCAAATATTACTTTTCTCTTTCTAGATTCTACTAATTATTCTGATAAACTACGATGTTAATATGAAATTACTTTCCCCCAGTTTCCCTTGCATAACACATTTCAGAATTAAATAGTTACGTGGTGCAAGTAACCTGAAGAAGACGAATGGGCCCAACTTCTATTTTTATTCACACCGAATGAATATACAAAATCTTGATGAAGTCTTTAAAACTAATTACTGTAGATTATACTGTAATGGCAAATGTTATTATGTTCAGGAATAACAATTTTCCCTATGATACTCAACATTTTCACGCATTAGCAATTATATTGCTCTAATTGATGATAGTAAAGAGGTTGGTCTACAAATAAGTACAGAGAAAACCTATGTTGATGACTCGTCACCAGAATGCAGGGCAAAATCGTAACATAAAGAGAGCTTATGGATCCCTTGAAAGTGTGGAAAAGTTAAAATATTTGTGAAAGAGCAGATTAAATTCGGACAATGCTTGCTACCAGTCAGATCAGAACCTTTTGTGTTCTCGTCTGCTGCCTAAAAACGCAAAGATTAAAATAGTATAATTTTGCCCATAGTTTTGTATGGGTATAAAACTTGGTCTCTGACACTTAGGGAGGATCATAATCTGAGGGTGTTTTAGAACAGGGTACTGAGTAGAATATTCTAACCTAAGAGGGAAGAATTACAAGGAGGCTGGAGAAAGTTGCATAATGAGAAGCTTCATAAGTTGTACTCATTAGGGAGATCATTTCAAGAAGGATGAGATGGGCGGAGCATGTAGCCTGCATTGGTGAGAAGAGGAATTCGTACTTGTTTTGGTGGGCAAAGCAGAAGGAAAGAGACCACTAGAAAGAACTGGAAGTAGGTGGAAGAATAACATTAAAATGGATTTTAGAGAAAGAGGATGGGGTGGTAGGGACTGGATTCATCTGGCTCAGAATAGAGATCAGATGCGGGCTCTTGTGAACACAGTAATGAACTTTCGACTTCCTTAAAATGTTAGAATTTCTTGAGTGGCTGGGCGACTGTTCGCTTCTCAGGAAGGAATCGGATCCATGGAGCAAGTAAGTAGGTAAGATTGCTTTGGTATCATTTATCGCCAGTTACTTTGACAAATACAAGATTCACACCGGAGTAAGTAGCAAGCAGATATAGACGTCAGGTGGTATCACGTCGCCTATATAATAACAAACAACCAAATTTCTAGTTTATGAGAATGTCGGTGAAAGAATCGACCACTTCACACCCGCATTTCGCTACTCTTCAATAGTCTTATTATTGTTTACTATTACGCGTTGCACACAAAACGGTTTATTGGACGATGCAATAAGCCATTACAAACAACCTCTTCCAAAGCGATAAGCAACGTATATCACTCGGCGATATGGCAGAAACCTTGTTTTCAGGTCGCATCGACCGTGACTAAGCGATAATTTTAAGACCGATTTCGCTTTCGTTCACAATGAAGGCTTTGCACTGGCAGTACAAGCCTGAATAAGGTAGTTTTAAACGTTAGTTCATATTTTCCTCAAGAGATAGCTCCTAAAGGCGAACAAAATTTTTTTTTGAACAAATGCCATACGTTGAGCCCACATGTTTACCTCGTGGCGTGTTAACGTTTTTGCTCGTGGTTTTCGGTTTAATATTACTAAGATAAGTGATTAGCTTCGTAATTTTGTTTTTATTATAAAGTTTATGTAGTACTTATTATATTTTTTCGTTCCTTTTTAGTGTGTTATATATAAGTTCATTTATTGTAAATTTTTCACCAAAGCAATGAATGGCTGGTCCAAGTTCAAAGTTGGGTGTATATTGTTTTACAAAAAGTGTTGTAGTTCAGGATCAGATAAAAGTAAATACACCAAACTTATATCAAATTGTGCAGAAATAAATTTTCTTTCTTATAGGATGAGTTATGAAGAAGCAAAAGTAAAATGTTTTTTCCTCCTGAAAATGAAATTGTTTATTTTATTTGTTTTTTATTTTTAAAAATGTTTAGTAAGTTACGTATAACATTAGAATTTGAGAGATTGTTTTTCAAATCTGCACCTTTTAATGTATAAGTGTGATTTTTCATGTGTATGTGTACAAAATTATTTTTTGGTTAATTTTTACATTTTAAGCTGTAAATACGTGAAAATTGGCCTGGGTGTTTTAGACCAGAACAGTGGAAATAGGCTTTGGATAGAATATGGTTAATTCATGATACTTATTTCAGTAATATGTATCGCCTATTGCCTATTGCTAGTTGCTTCGGTGTGAAAGATGCCTTCCAGCTTTGGTTTCGTATTAATACAGAAGCTGCCTCTTCCGAAAGCCTTATGTCCAAGTGACAGACATTCGTAAATAAAGATATTAAATAATTCTGATCTGAAATAAAGCTGGAAGTAGTCTCATGTTCTTTTAAAGAGTTATGCCTCCTCTCCACAGGCTGAAATAAAGCTGGAAGTAGACTAAGGTTTTTTTTAAAGAGTTATGCCTCCTCTCCACACCGAAAGGAAGTTTGTGGCAAAAAGTAATTCACCACAAACGATGGGGTACGCATAATTGCAACTTGAGGAAAAGAGGTCTCGGAAGACAAGATGAACCTCCTTCCTAGGATGGAGACATTTTCTATCTCGATGCCAGTAGTGCACAATAAGCAAAACGAGTCTCTTGAAAGGTCAGTGCTTACTTTGAGGACTCTGACGACGTCTGACGGAAACTGCATGAGAGCCGTGTTGGACACCCTCCGGTAGATTCGATCCACGAAGATGCCTGCTCTGATCGCATGTGCAACAGACCGGAACTTGGGTTTCTCGTCCGACTTCCGCCGAGTAGTGGCCAGTTGTCGGGTAAAGGTGGAGGCAAGCCATTCTCGAACCTCGGGTGGAACAGCGTCAGGTTGTACCTCGGACAACTCGTCATCGTCGTCTGCTAGGCGTCTGCACAGGCAAGCGCAGCAGTTAAAAGTGTCCCCACAACACGTCCTGCTCATGTCCTTCCGCAGCTTGTAACTGAGATAAAAGAGTACTGATGACAGACGTAAAGACAGAGACCTCGAGAAGAGTAAAATGTAAAGTATTTTGCTAAGAAAATTCAGATTAATTTTCAGGAATAAGTTCAAAGAGAAACAATCCACATACTTTCAAGTATGTAGCGTGTTACATTAATTTTACGGAATATGAAATTTAACTGAATAATTTTTAAAAGTGTTCATATAAAAATAAAGTGGTCGTCGATTAAATTACAAATAATCCTTACAACAGCGCACACTATTAGTTTGAAGTTTCAGCAAAGAAAAGACTTCGTAAGAACTTCCATTTTACGGTATTTACCACAAAATTTATAAACAGAAGGTACGTTTAAACTGAAATCCGGCTCGATTCCTTTTCTCCTTTTGGAAACAGGATTATGCATTCACAGTCCGAATGTAAAAAACATGTTTTAATAATTTGGAGTCTGCCCAAGAAATTCTTAAGTTTGGATTGTTTGTACTTTATGAATTCGAAGAAAAAAGCTGAAATTTGTCTTTTAGGCGCTTCCATAGATAGCATAATATAGTAAAATCAAATATTATTTGTTGGTCTATTCCACACACCAAGCACGTCTGTAAACTCGTAGGTGTGGAAGTACATGAGCAAGCTGTATTCACTTGTTTTCATTATTATTTGTGTACAGACTACACAACAGCATCACATAATATCTACTATCTAGCATGCTTTTTTGCGCGTTTGTAACTCATCTATTATTATGTCTAAAAAGTTTAAATATTCAAACAAATCTGAAGTGACAGACCTACTTTATTAGGGGTATTGGGAAACACTACAATGTTGTAACTACTTCAATAAACACTTTGTAGCGACAGCTATGTATAACTACAGTAAAACTGGAACAAAATATGAGATTTTAGGTTTCCACGGCAGTGAACATTCAGACTGTGATCTTCTGGTTTGTGCCACCGTAAAGTCTTGGCGGTGGTTGTTAACATTTCGAAGGAAAATATTAACACCCAACTCCGAACATGACGGCAAGAGGTTCCCCGAAACTGTAATCATCTACAGGTCTATACGGTATTATAACTGAGAAGACTGCAGTCTGTTGGCTCGTGTTTACATGTAAACTACACTTAATTCTACCGACTTGGAAAATGTAACGACTAATCGATAGATCTACAACAGAAAAAAACTCGTTTTAAAAAAGTTGTCTTGGAACAGTAGGTTATAAAGAGAAAATATCAAATGGAAAAACTAAAAATGATTTCCCTCTTGACAGTAACATTTCAGTAGGTATTACATTTATCATTATATTATGTTCGGACTTCAGCAGTGACTTGACTAAGTAGAAACAATGTGACGGGTTTAAAGATGCATTATTTTTACTATTTATTACTCAAGAAATAAAGTCATAATTACACAACTGACGTGTATGTTGTGCTTGTGTTTCGGAAGACTTCTCATATTTGTTATCACACTCCAAATAGACGTACTTATTGTTTCTGTATATCCATTTATTCCCCATATTCATTGACCCTTACTGACATGCATATCAAAAAATGAAAACGTTATATAATTCAAGCACAAATCGGCCAACGTAATTACTATTACATAAGAAAAGATTTAGCCAATTCAGCAAATGTTTCGGACACAGAACACACTTGGGGTTCGCTGCCTCCTCTGTCTTCAAAATATAGTCATAAAACCAAAAGTAATTGGAAGATCTGAGGTTTCCACAACAATGTGAATATATACAATCTTATGAGTTGCTATGCCGTGTAATATTTTGACTGAGTGTAAATGTTTCAGACAAACTTATCGTCAAACCTTAAGATCATCTATACAGGACTACGTAAGATTATAAAACCATTACAAATACAAGAAAAACATTGTACATGGTCTTACAATTTTTTCCGCTCTTATCTGTGATACGTTCGGAAACATTGTACATGGTCTTACAAATTTTTCCGCTCTTATCTGTGATACGTTCCTAAAGATAGAAAACTAACGTAGTCGATATATTATTGTTTTATGATCTACCTATTCGTTCTAACTTTTAATTGAAGACTATCAATTGGATTGTCAACAAAATATAAGAACTAAAATGCACTCGGTCAACAGAAAACATTGAACAGAAACTGTGAATAACACATCTCTGTATTGTTTCTTGGGAATGAACTTATTTGGCAGATGTTAGAAGTTCTGGAAAAGATTTTCACAAACACTTAAAGGATGATCACACTGTATTTTCAACAGTTTGTGATTTGGCGATACAAAAGCCTGTTAGCGTAAATCTGAAACTTGAGATGTTTATTTTTAATTAAATATTTTGATACGCGAGACATGAATTATTCTTAAAATAAGATAATGACTTTATGCGAATGGTTGAAACATAATTTCCGCCGCTTAACCACATAAATTTTGAGCAATTTATTTTGTGCATTCTAAACTGTGGTTAAACAATTGAGAAAATTCATAACAAATCAACAGAGCCCAATTTTGGGAAAGTAGGTATCGGGGACAGATGCTCCGTTGTTTATCAGTGACCAAAAAATATACAGAACACATTCTGTAAATCTTGCTTTTTATACAAATATACTAACTGACTATTCGCATCGGCGAAACAAATAGTCGTGGTTTTTAAATATCTTCCAGTTCAGGTAATTCGTACTGATACTAAATGTGATTGAGCAATTTATTCGGGATGTTTTATTTTCACTGTAAGTTCCTCAAATTAACACGGGAATGCAAAGTTCAGAACCAAAGATACAAGTTTAAGTTTACACTATTGTCTGAACGAGTTAAAACCATAGCTAATAAGGAACTTTAATTTTACAGAACTGAAAACAAATTCGATTTCACACACCAATATCGTACGAAGTTTTAAGAATGAATATGTAATGTCACTGCTAAAGACCACCTCTTGCTAGAAACTATGTGCAAAGTCTTAAAATAGCAACATTGGCTTGGGTCAAATAGTATAATCCAACTTACCTCCAGCAAGAAGAGACGAGAATGAAGGGAATTATAAAACCACGGAGAAATATTTTATTGCAGTGATGTACAATTCAAAATATAGCATAGACGGAAGATCATAACATGAGTGAGCTACGGCTCACTCATGTTAAGTTTAGTTTATGTGCGTGTTCTAAGTGTCTCGAGACTAACATCTAACAGCGAAGCGAACGGAAGAATTACATGAAAAACATTTTAGTCTCTTTACAGTGCAGTCAACTGTAAATTTAATGATGAAACAACGTGCTCTGGACATTCTTATTAATAATATATAAAAAAACGTTCTTTCTGTTAGAAGCAACAAAAAAGTTTTATTTGAATACATCTAAAGGACGAAGCGCCCTATTAATTTTAAGCAAGAAAAGTATCTAGAATTAAACATAGTTTCCAAGTAATTTACAATTCTGGCACGTACAGTCCACGACTGTGGACTGTACCTATGTGTGGTTCAAGTTGAATATTATTAACAAAAATAATGCAACACCAATATTCCTAACAAGAAGTTATTTTGTAACATCCCTAAGTGCCGAGTTAATTCCTTTCTGTTATAATATTCGCATTAACAAATTTATCTTGTATTCGTACGTGGAAACGTCGCGGTATTAGCAATACAAATTAGGCTATTATTATATTATTAGTACATTGTGAACGAACTTCTAGTTGATTGCATACCACGAGTTATGTTTATTACAAAGAGGAAATGTTCTTTTATAACGTGTGCGTATTATCTTTCCCTGCAATTATTACGAAATGTCTTCATAAGTTACTGTGGTACGGAAAACACATTTACTTATTTATAAACTACCTCCCATTTGGGATGAAGTTATTTAATTTGTAAATTAAATAACTTATTCCTTTAAAAATGACCAGTTTATATTAATACATCATGTGGTCAACAGAATTGAATTTACAGGGCGTCCAAAAAGATGTATACGCACATTAAGTTAATAAAATAGAACATTTTAATAAACTAAACAATTCCATACGTCAGCACAGGCACTTAGTGAATTAGCGAATCTAGTGCAGTGATACAGTTGGCAGCGGTGAACAACTGACTGACAAACAGTGACCGAATTTTTTGCTATGCACTATGGACACTCTATAAAGATTTCATATTTATTTCTGTAACGTAACAGAATGGAAGCGCCTACGTGGGTGTACGACCGATCAATTGAAAGATCACGTAGCCCTGAAGTCCTGAAAAATAATTCCATCAAACTTACGAAAGCTGAAAAATTACGTTATTTTAGTACCCACTGTTAAAAAATTAACAGACAAAATACTGTTTTGTTGTTATACAGAAGTATATATACGTATATAGTACGCCACGAATGAGCAAACAATCGTTTCAATGCATTGTTTCCATTCTGTGAATGTGAATATGTGAGGTTAGTTTTTGGCAGTGCTGCTTGCTTATATGGTGGGCATCATTATTCTTTAACATAAATTATTTTATAAATGTAATGTGTAAAATAAATTGCAGACACTGTGTCCCCAGAACACTCTCTGATTAGTAGGGCAGTGCTTATAAATTGTTGAGAAAAAACCCTATGTTATTGCCTAAATACGCATTATGAAATTGTCATTTGCTAACCTAGTAAACTTCAAACTTCCGCCTGTAATACTGTTCTCAACGTTTGAAGAACGAGTGCCACATTTACCTTTATCAACTCACAGTCCGCATTCGACATTTTATTTAAATTTCATGGAAAATTACTATAGGTAACCGGTTCACGTACTACATTTTACGTAACAAATTTGTTGACTTCTCAGTCTTATTAATTATTCTTTTCGTTCTGCAAACATTATGCGGTAAACACTTTTCATAATTAAGAATAATACAATATTACAATAATGTTTGTCGGACAGAAGACACTGGCAGTGACTTATCCTCACTAATGGAACTGAAGGAATACACCACTAATGTTGTTATG